GTTTGTGTGTGTATACGGTAACGTCAAACGAATAAAGGCAAACGAAATCGATGAATGTTCGGACGTTGCTTTTAGTTTGACTTCAGAGTAAACATGTTGGGGAGTTCTTTTGATTTGCTAAACTTTATATCGTGTATACGTTTCAAAACAACTCTAGAATACAACAAGTGCTCAAAGTTCTGCTACATTCGTTCTTAGCAACTTCGAGTTTCTCGAAGACACAATTTATACAAGTACTTTGTTTTTATCGAAGAGCTTGTGATATTTTTTATAAGACTACTTTCTGCTACGTTTCATAAAAGCTTTTAAGGTGACGGAGAGATGCATTTTTTTAATTTACCATCAGATATTTTACTCGTATTTTGTAATATTTCAATAAACTCTCAGGTCTAACGTTCGTTTTTGACCGATATTTATAATACTAATATGTCTACGAGATGTCCTACGTCTAACGAGAATAAAACCCTCTCCCTCTTCTTGCGTAGTACTTTTTCTCGCAGTAGTTAATCAGTGATGTAGTGTGTCGTGGAATCAGTTCGCAATGTTTCACAGTTTGTTTACCACCAGAGAAAGGCGGGCGGTTGTAACTCTATAGGTCGTTGCGAGGGGCGTTCCGGCTCAAGTGGCCACGATTATTTTGATTTACAAAGTTTACACTTCGTCGGCTCGGAGTTATATTAGTCATTTTATTATGTACAATTTTTTTTTCATTCGTCTTAGACTCCCATTCAGACTTACACTCCACTCATGTTTTGCATTAACTACAGTCTATGACGTACGCTGCTCTACTGCGAGGGAACATCACCACGCCTGCGACAAGTTTTGTGAATGTTCTCCTACCAACGACAAAGAAAAACATCACAAAATTGCTGGGTGACATTAAGGACCGAATTTACAACTCCGCGACAAATTTCAGTCAGGAACGTCGACTCAAGTTGTCGGAAACTTAGCGTCTCGTTCGTATTTCGCATAAAAAACCGAACTTCCATTTTCATTTCACACTGTATCTCCCTAAAATTGCATTTGATGAAATCTCCTACCATCATTATACTTTTAAAGTCGCGTCTTTATTTCGTTTTTACGACTTAATGCGGACAGCTTTCCATCCTCCTCAGAAGTAAACGTCTTCATCGAATCGCATTTGCGATGATTCTTTCTCTAGTTTTGTATACATTGCTGGTGTATATTTTTGTGCAATTGACGTTGAGTTTCGAGTCAATAGTCAGTTAATCTAGCTTCTTAGCCACTGTAGCTGGTGATGTCATTACACAAAATTTTCCTCATCTTCAAGAACGTAAAGGAGTCGTCGCATTTCATGAATTTTACAACATTTTTGTTGATGTTGGAAATTACAATTTTAAGAATATGTTGTTGAATAACCTTCTACGTGCAAAAAAATGTATTTGTTTCTCGAGTTTGATACATGTCGTAGATGAGGTTTTTCCATTAACCAAATGTTTGCGTTGCGAAAGCCTCGCAACTTCCTTGAGCTTACTGTGAACTTATACCCAATCAATAGGTTAGTTATAATCATTATATAAATCAAAGAATGTTTCGTATGTAGTACTATTTAATGCACTGAGAGTATAAATTTCTATTTGCAAAGAAGCAAGCAATGTACGCTTCAGTGCGGCATAGTAATCGTGATTTAAAGCTCGGGGAAGCTATGAAATATAAAAGATCCCGGCGGCGGGTAATGAAGAGCCGGGATTAGCGAGTCCCGCGGGATCCGCCGCCGGGACGCCGTTTTTTTCTCCCACTATTCCGCCGCGACGCGAGCTCATCCGCCGGACCTGCCAGACAATGTCTGGTCCCTTTTCTTTGTAAACACTATATCGTAAACTAAGTTTTGTGTCTGTAATATGTTTGGTATGCTGTTTCTTATACCTGTTTTTGTACTTGTGGGCTCATAAAGAAAGGATACTTTCAATAATCCGTTTGCGCTCAAAGCCAGTTGATAGAGCCATAACAACAGATATCAACACCGTCTGCTTGTTTACTTGTTCACCACGGTAAGGCCTTATCACGAACGGGCGACAGTGCCTTCGATTTGTTCCAAATGTATCCGTTGACAAGATCTATTCTTGTTGTTTTGCAAGTTCCGTCTCGGAACAACAACGGCCTGTCGGTACTTCGCAGCCGATTCTAACATCGCCTCCCTACTCCGGAATCGAGTAAGAAATGGGGGTTAAGAGGATAGAGACGTACTCAGGCTTCGATATTTATCGATAAAAGTGAGAAGTTACAGTTCATTATCATAAAAAATTAAAATAATGTATACCCTTTTACAAACATCTTTTTAAAATGAAGAAGTAATGACGATTTTGTTAGCCCGGCGGTTAGAGGAGGCTTCGCGTTTGATCGACGATAGGCCCAAATTAGGAACTTTTCTGAATTGACCATCGTTTTGATGGACTGCAGTTGATTTTATTACTTTCGTACTCATAGTACGGGAAATTGCCTTGTTGAGATCAGAGATTATTGTTGTAAATGTCAGATACATGGGTGCTGTTATTAAGTATCGGACTATTCTAATTCAATTTGTAATCGAAGTTTTACATGAAAGAGAGTGCCTAGATTTTTGTAACTATTTAAACAAAAAAGGGATACCTTGCTGGCTCTACGAAATGGTAGTCAATTTATCGGAGTGTGATTATAGCAGTTTGCGTTGGACCGCTTCAGGCCACCGCCGCGCTGGGCCATCCAAAGGCCGTTTTGCACCGCGTGCGAATCTACTGCCATTTCATTTACCGGCTTTTGAATGACATTGCTAGAATTAAATACAAGGACCTGTGTTTGTTAAATTTGTTGTAAGTCAAAGTCAAAGTCAAGAACGTTTTCATTGAATGAATAGCGTTGGTGACGTGGCGTCGCATTGACAATTTGCTGAATCGTGGACACGATGAACGGACTCAATTTGCCTCGTCGTGAAATATACAAGCGTGCTTATCATGGCAATTATTTTTTGGCTACGCACTTGGAACATAGTGACGGCTGCTGCGTGGAGAATAAGGTTTTTATGTGGAATAGCCGGTAAAATCTTTGTTTCCAAACGGTAGGAATAGAATACAGATGATTTTTTTTTATTATGTGGCAGTTGGTGTATGTAGACTAAAACAAATGAATGATACAGTAGGTACTGAAATATCTATAACAAGAACTTGTCTAAATATTTACCATGTAACCATTTATGGAAATATTACGTAACGTCAGAAAACTCCAATTAAAGAAAACAGATGTACCTTACATTTTAACTTAACGACCGAAAGGTACGTCAGGATACTCGTTCGAAATGTTTAAAACTTTCGAGTTATCGATGTCGAGATAGATACCGATTAACGAAGGGCAGCACTATCGCATAGGGGTGATCGTATTTCGCAGATCGGCGCTGGAAGGAAACGTTTAGAGAGCTTCCGCTCGCTTCAACTCGCAGTCACTGCCGCTTATATGTGGAGCAGGTGGGTGCTACGTATAAATTGGTATACAACTACACGATCTTTTTACATAGTTTGAATTTAAAGTTTTGTAAGCCCTGATTTGTACTTAAGCTACAACATCCATCAAAGTCGGAAAGAATTGGCTATTCGGGTCTGTGAAAGCCGAACATCAAACGAACCAACTTTTGACATCTGTTACTTGACTTAGTATAGAGCCTCGCTGATGGCCCAAGTCACACTTTTCATATATTGCAAAAGTGATATTGCGTGCGTTATCGTCCAATTTTACTCGACTTTTAGCAAAACTCTCTCAGTAGCAGTAGCTTCCAATTTGACCGCCAACTTTATTAGCCTCTGATCCAATAGAAATATCTCCCATTGTTCCCTCGGACGCTGCAGAGGGACCGCGACACGGGGGGCGGAAGAGGACAGTGGAATATAAATCACGTAGCACTCACGACTTTCGGCCAATTTCCAGAATATTTTTGTTCCTTCTTATTGTAACGAGTATATTCTCCAAGTTTCTTTTGAATTTGATATTTTTATCTTTGCAGTTTTTTTAATAAGGACTTCAGTTTCTTTAAAGTTAAGGTAATATTAACTACATTACGTTTTAACTCCAGTATCCTCAAGGACAAAGAAGCAATGAGGACTTGTAACCTTACGCGAATGACATAAGATCTTCTTGAGACGCAATGGACGGTGGTTATAAGAGTTCATTACCGAAGATGGACTTATACAGAATATGCTATTATATATACCCGCAAGTATGTATCTGAACAATGATGGTTGACGATAACTTCACTGATAAGAAACTGGATCCCACATAAGAAAAAGAGTTTCAATGTACGTACGTCATATATGTGGATAGATGACTTATCTGATGGATACTACAAATCATTTTCGTTATTATTCAGTCAACATGCAGTCAGTCAATTAATATTCTTGCGAGACAAAATTTATTCTATTCTACGCAGTCGTAGGCAAATGCTACGAAATGTAACCATTTGCTACGACATCGTTCTTGTTACGTTTTGCTAGTATACAATTTGGCGAAAAAGCAATTGTTTTATAAATGCGTTTGATAGATATCTACATACATTGTGTGGTACTGCACAAGGGCGGGGTTGGATAAGAATTATGGCTGGCTAGAGAACGACAAGGAGATCGCTTGGTGAGATTTACACTTAGGCTTGAGTTTAAACGTATAAAGCACTTGTAAATGTAGCAATATTCATTTGATTTTACGGCGACTCATAGTGTACGAAAATGTACATGTCACAGTAATTGAATTTGCAGAAATTGTCCTTAAAATGTCGTTATTTTAATATTAGCTCGAACTTATCCTGAATTAATTACATACGTATTTTCTCTCCCATTGTTATTTATATGCAGTTATTTTAATAGACTATTTAAAAAAAATTATTTATAAAATTATCCATCGAAATTGTTACAGTCGTTTTCGAAGATCTACATGCACTCGCGCAATTTATGTTTTCAATTGTTACAGATGCACCGGCCATCGAGATGAGCTTTCCTCGCGCCGCGCCCCTTCCCCGCTCTATCTGTCTGGCTCTCGCGCGCCTCCCCGCTATCTCTCCGTCCCACTCCCCGCGCCATGCTGCGCGTTAACCACCCTCGCCCTTCGCGCCCCGCATCCGGCGGGCGCCCTCTCTACACGCTTTTCCTCTTCACTTTTTTCACAGGTAAGTCAATAATTTTTTTACATTATATTTACTGCACGGTTACCACGATAAGTTATAATTATCATATCATACAGTTATCATTGACGAAAATATCTGAATTGCTGCAGAACTTAAATTACGTCCACTAGCTTAAAGTTCTCGCGATACATTCCCTGAGGCACTCTATAGAATGTCGAATCAAACATGATTAACGAAACCTTTGCTACCGCGGTTCATGAAGGTTCTGTGCAGTGATAAAGCGACAAGCTCGTAGTGCTAAGTAGTACTTACTACTTTAAAAATGGTTTCGGTTCAATCTGCATTAACGTTAAAAGTAACACCACCAGAATCGGCACTATGACCAAACAGAATCGTAATCAATTTAGTACAAGTTGAAAATAACCATGTACTGTACCAGTAGGTACAAAACTACTGTAGATATACACCTGCGCTGCTACCTTCTCGTCTGAAGAGTTTCATTGAAATTAGGGTAGGCTCGAAGCCTTCCAATTGACTATCCACCGTATTATACGCGACGTAGAATTTAAATTGTATGTGACGCATTTATTACCGCGTCTATGTTGTCACTTAAATACTACGTTTCAGATTCGAATAATTGAATTGATCACCTGTCCTTTGAAAATTGAAGGCTAATTGAAGGTGGTTCGAGGCGAAGCTTCATTTTCAGCGCATTCAATCATTCGCTGAGTTCGCTAACTTTGATTTTTGATACAAACCTTTCCTTAAATCACGCATTCAGGAAACCAATTTGGAGTTTGAACTGGGTTGGCTCGATGCATCCAGAATAGAGCCAATTCCAAAAGTTCCTTTCCTAAACTGATTTAATCAAGATCTGAACTAAAGCAACCGAACAATCGAGCTGGAAAAAATATTTGAACACACAGACTCATGGAATATTTTCGTATCCACAATTTGTCTCAAAAACACAGAAACCTCGTTGTCCAGAATGCAGCCGTCGTGCATTTAAGTGCGATGTCTTGTCCAAGACAACAAACACCTTCGCAACGCTTTGGCGCTCAGCCAATTGTGCTAAGAAAATGCACAACGGATGCGCAGATTCACCATCTGCCTTGAATTTATATGAACCCAATTTTAGATTCAACCTTCGTCTGTATATTGGTGGAATAAATTTACTTTTTGAGTGCGATTTATGCAAAATATTATATAATTTCGGATTGTCAAATGGAACAAATGTTAAATAAAGTGGCGGATAATCTAACAAAATAAAAATTATAACCTAATCGTCCCCGTTAAGTACGCGCTGAGGTCAGGAGTGAGATCTGAATGAGATCGATTTTAAGTCTTCGACGTCGACATTGCGAATGTTTCTTACAAGCTTTACTTCAACTGTCTTTGTTTGCAAACGGTTTGTTTCAAAAAACCAATTTCTTGGTTTCTTGTTTCATTTCCAATGCTTTTGTTTGTTTGTCTTTTCGTTCGGGTCGAAGCTTATAAGTCGACTTGTAAACGTATTTCCTATATATTGCTCTTTTATACCTCTATTTTATATGCACGTTAATCTGGTGACAATGCAAGAATGTGTTAATCTTGGACTGATGCTGCAGGTGCAGACAGTCCCGCAACAGAAGTAGATGGTACGAATAGATTTAAATATTGTGATTCAGAACCAGGAAATCCAGTTCCGAAAGTACTGGGAATTCCCGGTTTCTTTATTATAATGAGAGAACAGGCAATTGAAAATTGTTTCCCGGTTCTTTCGATACTTTCGGGAATCAGCGTTAATAGTGTAATTTCGGTTTTTTACGCGCCAAAGGCACGTTGATGCCTTCTCGCGGTCAAAACTAAACGACAATAAATGCGGGTGAGGGGAGGGAGTAAAAAACGCTCCTCAGAGGTTAAGGTGGTTTTTCACCACCGAGGCTAGACGAGTCGAGAATAGAAATTCGCCTACCTATCTCAAATCGTGTGTACAGTTGCGTGCAATGAAATGTAAACGTTCACACATTTTCGAATATATGTAAATATTAAACACTTCAAAAATAAGAGCATTTCCTTTTCGAAAAAGCATTTTTTTACATAATCTATTATCGATGCCAAGTACTAAGTTGTCGAGTTTTGTTCGAAGATTTTCAACCTTCTATTTAGAAAATTAATTGTGTCTGCAATTACAATAACTTATCACGATAATACTGTAAATTTAGTATACTTGTGCTACGCCACTCGTGATTATCAACAAAAAAAAATGTGTAGTTTATCCGAATAAAACTGACGTCGATCTAGCAAAATACATATAAAAAAAATTACAACTGGCGCTAGTATGTTTACATTATATTGCAACTACGATGTATATTCATATTTTTGAAAACGATACAACTGTGACTAAAATCTGACGAGCTCCATAGTTTTAAAAGTGGTTACATAATTACGATAAAATCACAATTCTAATTGTATATATTTTAATGTCAATTGTATCGCATTGTATAAATATTTATAAAAATGCTAGTATACTTTTCACTAATTGTAGTTAGTTTATTTTTCTCTGACATAAATGAATATCTTATTTTAAAACGGTGTCATAATTATATATTTTTGAATACACCACAAGGATGAACATCTAATATTTGTATTCGGACTAGTGTCAACGTTTACCCTACAATCTTGCGATTCATATTAAAAGACAAAGTGAGCTCGCGTGAGAAATCATGTTTCCATTGCAGAGTAAATACTCTATGTATGTAACAATACGGTTCAATATTACATCAACAAATATTTCAATTCTCCCCTCGCCCATCCTCGTCAATCCAGACCATTTCCACCGAAGATGCGCTAGAAGACAATTTAATATTTATTTCAATCCTCGTCTCGCCTCACTGGTGGAAAAGCATCTTTACATTAGGAAGATTTTATAATATTTTTTTAAGATATATATTTTGTATTAGTAAGCTTTTATTTAATTTTTTTTCAAGTTTCAATTGTTTTCCTGCCTCTGTGGTCGAACGGTTACCATACCGGACTGCCACGCAGAGGTCCCAGGTTCGATTCCCGGGCCGGGAGAAATATTTGTATGGCCTACATTTATTTCAATACTCAATATTCAATATATTTATTGCATTCATATGGTATATATGTATATGTACATGTCTTAAAATTACAATAATGCTACACATATGAGCCCTTTATTAGGTAGAACTATAAGAGCAGAGTGAGTTTCTCTCGTGAGTTTGGGTTTATTTGTGGTCGTCTATGTGTGTATCCATGGCACCCGCGACACAGGGGACACTAGGGAAACTCAAGTCAACTCAACATATTGAGTGTGTGCGTTACTATTATTATTATTTAGAATAAAGAACTAAACAATCATTTAGGTTTAAAAGGTTGTATTTTTTTAAGATTCAAGAACTGATTAACTGGGTTTTTGAATGTACATGAATTAAATAACGACAGTTTTTATATTGTTAGAGGAGGTTTAAGTTACTTTAATTGTAAAAGTTTTTTTTAAATATTTTAATTTCCAAGATTAAGACGGCTCAATTAAGTTGAGAAATTTAAGTTGACTGACTTCTACTACATTATTTTGAAAGAAAAAGCTCCAATATTGACCGTTTTTATAAACCTATCCCTGTCGTAAACCGTGGAGTACTACTGCTTACTACTTCGCTTATTGTATCACTATTGAACAACAACTAGTTAGTACCGGAAGCACTAAAAGAACCGGGACATCCCGGTTCCGTGGAAGACTAGTACCGAAATTCCCGGTTCTTCAAAACAGGCCCGTGCGTACGTAATTTTGAAAGACTAGAATTCATTCCTTCAAAGAACATTTTCTAGATGTGTGCAGATCAGGAGCTGATGAAGTGAAATCTAGTAAATTTTATTCCACTTGTGCATGTTACAGAGTTCTACCAATGGCATAAGTGTTCGCTTGCTTAATTATTTTCTTCGTTTACTTTAATAATTTGTATGTCTGTACAAAGTTTTTAATGGTTTTCGTACTGATACGCTAGTTAAATAAAATTAATATCACAAAAGTGCCGTTGTTGTGTAATCTGCGAACATCGGTCCTGTGTTGGTAACTCAGAGGAACTATGAAGTACGTGCTCTTAACTAATCTCGAGGTTCCAGCATGTCTAAGTTAGACGCGAACGGGCGAAGTTGCGCCGCCAGTGGCCACGTTGGCGTAATGAAATAAAACAACAAAGAGCGTCAGCTTCGTCTGTCGGCGAAACACAAAACTCGTCTGCGAAACTTGACGCTGACAGCGGGACAGAAGGGGCGAAATAGGGGGTTTGTTGCCAAACACAAAGCATGCAATGGACACATCACGTGAAATTATTATATTTGCCAAACCTTCTTCTTTTATATGGAAAATCCACACTCATCAATGGGGCCTAATCTATACGTTAAAAGACTGAGGACCCCCTGTGTTGAAGTGTTGAAATGGTGCGTCCCTTTCGCAGGATAAAACTTTGTAACGTGTGAATGTGACACAAAAACCGCCCCGTCACGGTGACGACAGACGACCCCCCGTCTAGAGCGCGTGTGTCGACAACTTGCCTGTCATTATGTCCCATACAATCCAGTTTCCGATTTTCAGTGTGTTTGTTTTGTCTTGTTTTTGTTTCGATAAAATGTCAAGTGTTCACGTTGATGCTCTTCGCTGTAGTTTGTATTGATTAATCATTGTTTGTCGAGTTCTTCCTCATCGCTATTGCTGCACATTGGAAACTAAACTTGTTGTTTGAAAAAAACAAATACGGTTCGTTTTTGCTTAAAGCAACCATGTCGCATTCTCTCCTGTCTAAAGTGGCAGTAGAGCCATTGTTTCTAGAGAAAAGCATCTCCATAAATAAGGATTTGCGACAATCACCCCGGATGGCAAACCGGCAAGCGATCGCAGTACGGGTGCAGTCTAACGCAGAGAGAGCCTGCCTTCCGCTTCCATGATTTATCCCATTTTCGCTGCCCACGGCACTCTCAGGGAGACATTAAATGAATCAGTTCGACCGACCTCGCGGTTACAAATTGTTTTACGATCAAAA